ATGTTAGTGATGTTAAAAACAATGTCTGAAGGGGTTCGTTATAAAGAGATATCGTGGACAGTTCATGTTTATTATAAAGATAGGACACCCCTAAAAACCTTCCTACCACCCCCAGCGAGGAAGGTAACCAGGCGTAGTGTGAGGTTAAAAAGAAGGAAATCATCAAAGAAGAAAAAACATGTAAAACCATTATATTATACTGTAACTAAACGTAAGCTTGTTAAAGTAAGTCATCTTGGTTTTTTCACTAACTGTTTACTAACCCAGATTATCCATAACCATTCACAACTGGGTCAACTTTAATATACTGACAAAAATTGTAACCTGCAACCACCATTTGTTCGATGTAACAAAGGAAATGATATTGTGAATGGATTCCAATGTTCTAACCAACTATGTTACAGCCTGTCTTCAATTCATTTATTTACATAAATCACAATAATCTTCAAATTTAAATGAGATTGTCCTGAATACCACAATTAAATAATCACTTAGGAACTCCATTTAGACATGACTGGCTGATACAGTCAAATCTACAGCCCCAATTAAGGCTTTTAGGGTCGTTCTAGAGACCATAGATTTATATTCAAATAAACAGATATTAGGTGAAAGTGGTTGTAAAAACAATATAATAATTGAAATAACAAAAGCACAGATCGAGGAAAAAGAAAAAAGTGGCTAAAAATTTTGGGTACATTTCCATTTATTACCTAATTAAGGACCTAGCCCCAAATAAGGAATTATGAATTGTGCAAGGTGACATGAATAACACACCTTTGTTATTGAGTGCCACTTGATACTCCTGAAAGAGGGTCATATATGTCAGATTTATTTACAAATTGACTCTTGGTATTCAAAATATTACCCCTGATTAGTCTTGAGAGGTGTGGTTTATATGGCACCTTAATCACCCCTTATGATGAACATGAACTCGCCCAAACATTTATTGTATGACTCGGAAATATGCATGTATGAAGAGTCCACAAATTATCAAGGGGTGTCAGATATAATTGGGTCCTTGCCCGTGGTACAATTATTTCCTCTTCGGGTATAAATCAATAGATTACCCTATATTGATATTTCATCATATCATTGTTTTGTGGTTTATGTGTGGTTTCTATATTATTGTTTCACTGTCAGAAGATAGTTAAAGTATATTTGTTTGTGGTTTTCAATGGGATCTCATTTATTCTATAATTATGTAGGATCTAGACATAAACCTAATAAATCAGTATATCATCCAAACGTTTTGGAGAAAAAGTCGAAAGACACAAAAGTGAGTAAATATTAGATATAAACAGTTGTATTGATAATATTCAACCATTTAACAAAAGAATGTTAAGAAAGAAAGGCTTTACAAGGATAGCAACTAAGATTCTAGAGAATCAGCTGATCAGCTGATCCGTGGCCAAGCCTCATGGCATTGTTCTTTTTCCAATTATCAATACTCATTCGAAATTCACTGCCGATTGAAGTCAGAACCCAGAACCATCATTTGTAACCTAACCAAGGAAATGATTTTAACAAGGGAATAAGATTCTCATAAATTACTATTTTAACAGTCTTCATGTCATACTATAGATTTCAACCAACCATGGATGTGGTAATTTACTTTGTAGTGGCTAAGATCTAGCTTATTGAAGACAGTGAAATTTTTACTGCCCAAATAATTTCTAGTGTATAAGATAATAAGCCTATTGTTAAGATGTAAGATAGATTCAATATGGTTCTTGTTAGATTATATTATAAAGTATGTTTTTTATCAGGTATCATAAAACAATATACAATACTAGTTTCAGATATCCTGAATAATTTCACTATATACTAGTCCTAAACTCTGTTTTTTCTCATGCTTTTAAAAAAGTGTATTTTGTGAACCAATATTGAGGGTTGTGACCTTTGATTGACTACAAAAAGACGTTTTCTTCTCAAACAAAATTTAGAAATCGAAAGAAACAAACAATTTTTATAAGGATAACAACTTAGGTTCGCTAGGAACCTTTCAACCAGTTGATCTTCGGCAAAACCTCTTGGCATTGACCTTTCCAAACCAAACTATGCCTTGAGTCGACAGATATTCCATTATAGACAGAGTTTCAGATTAATCACACCAACAATATGTTTTATAACAAAACAGGTCCAGATTGTTTTTATTAAGAAAATGGCTGAAACTGTGAAATAAAACTTTACTCTTTGATGAAGGATTATCTGAAGAATAAAAGATCCAATTTTTCCAACAAACATCATCTTTCACTATTGTTGCTTTGAATTCTTTTATACTGTACTCACCGACTGTAGTATTGTATGTTCTCATATTACGTCAAAATATATTATTTAATTCGCATAACTTTCAGATCTAATGTATATTAATATATCAACTACTTGTTTCAGTTCCTCTGGTAGTATTCTACCTAAAACCAGTATTAATGCCAATTATTGTTAATAATTGTTTTCCGAATTGTTTTTTAGTTTTGAACTATTTCTTTCAGAAGGCTTGCTGTTAATTTCAATGTTTTATAATTTTTGCTGTAGTTTGCACTTTCTGTCTATTGCAGACATTGAGCCCACTTTGCCTCTTTGGCCCCTTTGTAGTTGTGAATTGGAGCAAACTTGTAGAGTTATCATTGTGATTTACAACGTCCATTTGTTCTCTGTGGTTATAAGTATTCAATATGTAATGATATACCATTTTGTATATTACAGTTAAAGGAACTAGTAGTAAGTGGAGAACTACCATGTACCAAGGAAGAATCAGCTACTCTAGCTGGCATACAATTACATATAGAGGAGGCGTGGCCAGAGGATGACTCGTCAATCCAGTCCTCGGTGGGGGGTGGTGGTCAAAACAACCTCCCTAAGTCTCCACATGTGGATAAGACGAAGAAAGAAGAGGAATCAGAATGGCGGGAGAACCTCAGGAAAAAGAAGGAGCTGATTAAATCTAACCGTGCCCAGAGAATAACGCCAGCAAGACGTAAAGGGAAGCTAGTCAGGCAGTTAATGTGTGCCAGTGATAATGAGATTGAATGTATAGAAGAATGTGAACTCTCTAGATTTCTTCCACCAGAATATACCACTTCTAAAAAAGTTCGAGAGTTGATCAAGGTAAGAGTATAATTCAAATTAGTTCATCATCTTCCTTAGCCCATCAGGGTTTAGAATCTGGATGACATCTGTACATTGGGTTTGATTCTGTTTTAATGATTTGATCTGATTTCAAAAACTAGGAACTGTCTTGTAAAGAAGTAAGGATGTGTAGAATGCAGTTCTCTCCCTTCACTTGTTAACTCATCGAGATATGATACCTTGAAGTTAATGTCAAGCCGCCCTGTGTTGAAATAGGCCTACAAATAAATACTTTAATTTCAGGAAAAGAAGAAAACACTATGGCATACCTCGTATTATGAAAATGAGTTGAAATTAAAACAGTTGTATGTTAAAATCTGTAAGAATCTACCAGCCTATGGGAGTAAAATATTTCATGTTAAAGAAATTTTGAGAGGAAACACACAGAAAAAGGTATGTGGTAATGAGTTTATTTTCTCTTCTTTGAGGAGCAAAATGTATGCTTGAAAAAAACTGATCTTTCTACGGAATTCTTTAAAAAAATAGTTTAGTGTGCACTTAGAAAGTCAATTACTTTACTACAAACAAATATCTTCAAAATTTGTTAGGTGTAGTTAAACTGTAAAATATGATCTAAAAAGGTGTAGCTCTTACATGTTTTTACACTGACAATTTGTACTCTGTATAAGAAGAGCTATATATATATATGAAGAGCGAGATTGTAATCTTTAAAATCATTCAACTTTATATATCTTCAAGGTATAACTCACACAAAGCAATTATTTTTCACTTTTTATACAGTTGATAATACGTAAATCTTTTTATTTGGATAAAAATAAGTTTATGAGTTTTCTTGTTTTTTCAATGACAAAGGGTTGTCTATGCAGAAAAATCAGGATAACTGTAAGCTATTTGACTCATTTTGATTTTGTGGGATTTTTGGACAAAGTAAAAAATTTTAAAATTTTGTTTGCAAGTTTTTTCGTGAAGTTTGATTTTGATGTGAATTATTTCTATTAATATTCCAGATTCCGCGGTTATTAGCAGTCTCCTGTGATAAAGTTGTTTTATTAGACAGTAAAACCAAGGCCATAGCCAAAACACAGAGTATCAGAGATCTCGAAGACTGGTTTCCTGGAAGTGGCAAGACACATGATGGCTTGGTCCTGGAATTCCGTGGCACCAAACCCTGGACTCTGAACATGGCAACAATAGACAACCTGAAGTGTGCCACAGCAGCTATTTGGGAAGCTCTGGATTTAGACGGCAGATTTCTGAACAATGGTACTTTACACAGAGACAGCTTAGAATTTGGTAAGTAACGAGCAACTCTAGCAAGGTAGGGCATAATGCCACATTGCAACTTTGTACCTTTCAGGAAGTTCATATAGCTTATATTGCTTATTTGGTATTCAGGTTTGTCAACTCAGCATAATTTTAACACAGTGGTTCCTAACCTTTTTCAGCCTGCACACCACTGGAGCAATCACCTGGACCTTTCACACCCCCAAAAATTTGTTTCATCCACATTTCCAGCATGTAATGATGTGAGGTGCTCTCTCAATTCAAAATAACTTTTCCTACACCAGTTGGCCACACACCTGACACCCTATTCCCACACCCCCAGAGAGTAAAAGCACCCCAGATTGGGAACCGAGGCTTTCAGAGCTAATATTGTTTATTTCATGTATTTCCATTACCACCAAAGATAAGCTTTGTTTCTTGAGATTTTATCAAGAAATAACACAAACTTTGATTTAGATGTAGTTGTCATCTTAATGTATTAACTCTATAGTTCTATAAACATATTCAACACCACGGCAACAATTATATATATCAATAACTTAGTGATTTAGAATATTTTCACTCTTTTTTCAGATTTCCAATGTCGTCAGTTTACCTTGAGACCAGAATTAAACACATTCAGTAAATATTCCTCGGAACTGGAACAACTACAGAAGATGTTACATTTCCCCGAGGAGGTGGCGCTACTGATGACTAAAACAGAACATGAGTTATTTACGAGCGTATCACCAGCTCAATATGTCCGTCATATCACCGTGGACCTCACCAGAACATCTGATGCTAGAACTGGATTGTGCGTGGAGGACCTCATTCAAAGATTCAACGAGGTAAGAAATTATTTTAGTGACAGAAACAGTAAAACAATGTTATGGGCACCATTTGGTGTTTTTCTGAAGAGAAAATTACAAAAAAATTGCAGTTGGCGCAAAATGCAAATTAATCTTGTGAAACGAAAGTAACATACTATAAACTTTTGGCCACTTGCTAGTTAAAGGTTTTTTAAGGCCCTCCACTGTGTTTTGTCACTTTCCATCCAAATGGGTTATATGCTTCTTTAGTTTCTTGACTCTGTTATGTAATAAAAGGAAGTTTTCTCGGAAAATATATATGATGGCATAATTCATATTTTTCAGGTCAGTACATGGATCACGCAGACAATAATCACCCAGGCAACCCATGAAGATCGTAAAGCCGTGCTCTCTTGTATTCTACGTCTAGCTGTCTACTGTTGGGTTCTGGGTAATTTTAACTCGGCTGTTGAAATATTAGCTGGTCTAAAGTAAGTAATATTCAGTTTAAACCAAACTTTTGCTGAAATGACCCCCTCCTGAACCCTTTATACCACATTTTCTTTTAACACTGGTGTTACCCTGTGTCTTCTATTGATTAGTTACTTGTTGACAACCATCCAACTCTCTACATAAACTGGTCTTTACAAGCAATGGGCTTGGCTGCTTTATACAAGCCTTTCTTCTCAGGGTTAAGTTCTGAGTCACTCCCTCTAATCGAATGAAACAATGATTCAAAACTCAAATAAGATGTTTAACATTTATGATTTCCAAAGATGAACGTTGCAAAAAAACCATAACAAATCAGCAACAATGTTCTAAGCCTGAGTCAAATTTTAGTCAAAAGATGATTTAAGGGTTCTTAAACTACTTTTCAGATCTGAGAAGTTGAAGCCATTTTGGTTGTCAATAGGAGACGAAGATGTGACCTTACTCCATTCCTTATCAGACGTCTTGTTGACACGTGAACCATCCCTAGTCTATCGTGAAGCTGTGGCACGTGCACTGGACATCCCATTCTGTCAGGTGGTACCGTTTTTTGGTGGATTCCTGCGAGATTTAAAAGCTATCTATATGGGTGTACCCAGTATTGTTGTTTTACCATCTGAAGAGAACCAATCATTAGAGGTATATATTTTTAAAGATCTTTTAAAAATTAAATATTGCAAATCTATTTTTCCTAGAGCCAAGAAAAAAAAGTTTTGAAATATGGAATTGTTGTGAACTCAAATGAACAAGCAGCCAAGAATATACCTCCAAAAGTTCAAAAGTTGGGAAGTGTTTCCTCTATAAAAATTAAAAGAAGAAAAATGTAGATATCACTTGTTTTTTTACAATCACCATGAACATGCTAACATGCTATAAGGCATTTTCTCTCACCAATCTATTCACAGTATCAATTTATTTTCTCTGATTCATCTATGATTAATTTTCCAGTTTGTATCAGACTATAATGGTGAAGATAGGTTTATGACAAGGATTGGTGTAGGTGGATTAATCAACATGGATAAACTACGACAGACTCATATTGTCCTGAATGACCTCTATCTGTTTCACCATCATGCTGACAATCAGAAGAAACTCTTACAGAGTAAGCCACAAGAGTAAGTACCATTTTTTTGTCAAATTAATTCCAATGGACCTTTTAAAATTTGAATTTTGTCATTTTCTTTTCTACAGAATGAGGTTTTTTTTTGTAATGTTGGTTTCATTCAAATAGATTGTATAAGACTGAATTTAACCAATCAAAACAACCTTTTTTAACACAAGAATATCAAGATGTTCGTTATCCAAGATTCCTAGCTTAGTCAATATAGGCGTACTTCTGGTCAAAGGGAGGCAACAAGATTTAGCATAAGGTCTGAAGGCCAAACATGATTTTAAGTAAAAGTTTGAAAGAAAAAGATATTTTATCCTTGTGACTATGAATCGCTTAGAATATTTTAAAACTAACCAATAGGAATAAGACAATTCAAACATTTGAAGCAGAGTCAGATATTAGCGACAACTTGAATGGAGTATTTTAAAACTATCCAATAGGCTTATTTTAATTAAAATATCAAACAGAATAAGATCACGTTCAAACATTCGGAACAAAGTCAGATATTAGTGACTACTTTCATGTAATTTTAACAAATTTGTTTTTCTAATAAGAATTGATACAAGTAAAACAATTCCGTCCAAAAATCTCATCCAAAGAATGGTAACATCCAGTGTAAAAGCTGTATAGTAGTGGATTGCTCCAACTAAGTCAATTAATAAGAGGATGGTGGACAATCCTATAACAGACATGACTCCTTTTACTTAGACCTGTTTTCTTCCGATCTGGTCTATATGACTGGTAAATAAGAAGCCTCCAGGGACAGAGTTCTAAATGAAAAGAGAGTTGGTGGCATCAGTTTGTCTAGATGTTAGTATATTTTCTATAGTGTCGTCATCGTTGATTAATGATTAGAAACATGACCCCACCCCTGGGAGATCTCGTCTTAGACAGAATTAAATCTTTGGATTAACAAATCTTCCTTACAAATTGAAATAAAAGTAAAAATTGGAATTGATCTAATATGAAATGGATAGGAGATCTTTTGAAATACGTTTGAAATTGAGATGACTAGTGGCGGCACCCTCCCCGTGGAGCTGCTGTGGATACGAAAAGGGGACAAACTAGACTGATTGAATAAAGAGACAACTATCGTGATTTGGAGAAATAGGTCTGAACTTTCTTTATTCTCATATAGCCACTTCAGTTAGGGCCTAAAAACAGCTTACAACAAATTAACCTTTTGATCTAACTCAATGATGTCTGCTTTAACCAATCAAATTTCTACCCTCTCCAGCGAGGGCTTTTTGTGATGCAATGATTATTAGGTTAGGTCAAGAGAGCTGTTGTTAGACCCCAGCTGAAGTGGCTATATTAAAAATTAAAGCTCATAGAAAAGAAAACAACCATAATTTTGGTCTAATTTTAATAAGCCTCGTCTCTTGAATCTGATTCTGTAGTGTACTGTGTAACAAGTGCCACAGTGTAACAAGACATGTTTTGAAGCTGATATACATCGGTTCATGAAATATTAATCTAGAACATCTTGACTTTGATCTCCGTTACAAGTTGTAATAACACTTCTTGATTTTAATGAAAAGAAACTTATTGAATGATTACAAATTGATTACTGTGGAAAGACAGTATCTTCCAGACACTTGATTTTAATTAATAAATGAAACAATAGGTCACATTGTTCTACAGTCAATTACATTAACTCTCAGACATGACTGGTAAATTTATCTTTATCAACATCCTTTCCAATCTAAATGAAGTCAAAATGTTATATAGTCATTACATGAATTCTCAGACTTGACTGGTAAGTTCTGCTAAATCTGCATCCCTTTTAGACTCTTAAGATATGATATAATTTTTCCTGTCAGCTATGCATATCGGTAATCTTGACTGGTAAATTCAGCTTAATCAACGTCCCTTCCACACATAAAAAAAAAATAATACAACTAACATTATACAGGTCACAATGTTCTTCTGTTACATTATTAAATCAATACACCCAGACATGACTGGCAAATTCTGCTAAATTAGTATCCCTTCTAGTCATCAGAATATAAATTGATATAACCCATATTGTTTCTGTTTCATTTTAATTGCCAAGTCTAGTAAAAACACATTCACTTTTAGCCGTTTCGATATCCAGACTTTACTGGCAAATTCAGTTATTAAAAATAAATGAATATAGAAGATATCGTTTTCTTTTACATCATTAAGGCAATGTAGACTGAAAATATCAGAAAATGATACAAAATTTTCATCTTATTTTGATGAGATTGGGCTACAGTATATCCAGACTTGGCTGGCAAATTTAGCCAAATCCACATCCCTTCCACACATTGCAGTATAACAAATAATCCATATGACAGAATACAGGTCAGGTTGTTCCACTGTTCCAATATTCATTATCTTGGTCTACAGTCAATTCTTAACACAATTACTAGTGAGGCAGTGCAATAGCACGAGTGGAAGAAAATTGGATTATTTTTATAATGATTCAGTGCATAGGTTCAAATCTTGTTAAGGTAAGAAACATTTTTTTTATGACCAGTGCTTTTGTGAATCCACATTTGACTTAGAGCTTATTGAGCAGATGTATTGTTCAGGTATATTATTATTTTTGTGATTAGGTGCATAACTTTGAATCCTGTAAAGGTTAGAAAACTTTGTCATAGCAAGTGCTTTGGGAGTCAGTACTACAGTTGCCTTACTACTTAAACCTTTTTAAGTCGTTCAGCAGATAGTGAAATGGCAAGTGGACATTTCAGAGTTGGTATCAGACATGCCTGGCAAAAAAACAACCATATCAATATGCTCAATAGCCCTGTTTTATACTCAATCTATCAAAATTGTGTCAAACTCTATGTTACTTGTAAGAAATAAGACACAGAAACAAGCATTCGTACCATTAAGAATTTTTTGTGAAACAGGGACGAAAAGTCTAGCAGTTTTATTTTTTTACACACAATTGAAAGTTCCGTGGGACAGTTAATTTGATTTATGCCTTGTTTCAACAGTCTATTCACAGCTTCCGTGGAAATTGACTGAGTCCAGGGTTAAAAGTCAAATTAATCGATTCGGAAAGCTATTCATTTGATATATATATTATACTATCCTCCTACACTAGTCTCAGAATTGAATAAATCAGTGATTTTCTCGGGTTGATGATTTATTATAAATTGTGAATAGCCCAGACTAGACAATATCAATAACAATGAAATAACATTTATTAACTCATATTCAAACGTAGTGGGTTGAAAATTCATTCAGACATTTTGTCTCAAAAATTGGAATTTGTCTCCAATTTTGTTATTGTTCAAATCTGGAATTAGGACAATTTATTCTAAATATTTTTTTTCGATTAAAGAGCTGATATTTTCCACCAAACTCTAACTCTATACAAAATAATCCACTTTCACTTAATACAATTCCTTCCCATCCCAACGGAGACCACATTATATTAACACCTCAGTCATAGAATCTCATTTAATGTAACTCTCTCCTACATAATTCAACACCCCCCCCCCCTATCATAAATACACCCTCCAAGAATAGAGCACACCCACCCCCCCATAAATACATTCTTCACCCTTTTTGTTATAATCCAAAACGAATCTCCCCTAATGCAAGTGGCTTATCACTTTTTATATTAGTCTTTAGTCTAGACTCTACTACAAATACTTTCTCCCCTACCATTAACACTTTAAAGCTGTATCCTCCTCCACACATGACAATATATTATACAGGCTAGACTCTACCCTCCACCCTGGCCCAACATACACCCCCACACACACTTAAAATACCATTAAGACTGAAAGCTACAATTTGATCAACAGGAAGTGTTGTAGATGTAATTGTGTATATTTAATATTTTAATCTAAACGTGCTGAGCCACCAATTTGTTAAAACTAATGTGTTAGGTCTGTAATTGTGTTGGTCAAGGTAAATGGTCAATTTACATAATTATAGGCCCACTTTATAATTTGGAATGTAAAAACAAAAACTGTAACAAACTGTTTCTCAGTTTCAAGTAATACAACTAGGTTTTCAGGTTTCTAAGTTTTCAGACAACTAGACTATTTCAGCCTGTGTCACTACTGAAGTTTGACAAGTAGTGACAACTGATCTATTTCAGCCTGTGTCCCTACTGAAGTTTTACATGTAGAGATCTTCAGACAACTGATCTATTTCAGCCTGTGTCCCTACTGAAGTTTTACATGTAGAGATCTTCAGACAACTGATCTATTTCAGCCTGTGTCCCTACTGAAGTTTTACATGTAGAGATCTTCAGACAACTGATCTATTTCAGCCTGTGTCCCTACTGAAGTTTGACAAGTAGTAATGATCTTCAGACAAGTGTAGGTCAACATAAACTCTAGTAGATTTGATTTCATGATATATTGGTATATGGTGTCTCTAATTCTATAAGTTCTGTTAAAATATTAATAAATTCTATATATTGTTAATATCTCCATTACTATAGGTGTAATACTTATTTTTTATTAAATAATTCCAACATGGTGTGTGGGATAGAGTGTTTAATACCTCTTTCACACTGATCCAATCACATCCAGATTCTAACACCCTAACATTCTGAACAACAGTCTTCCCTCATTGTACACTGCATGGCAATTCCCTACATCAATAACCCAATAAGGTGCAGAAGAGTACGACATTCGAACATAATTCAAACCACAAAATGCTCTAATATTATGAGCTACAGACTGCCCCCTAAAAATACTGTCAAGATCCCAACACTGTAACATTCAGTGCTTCAAATCAATTTAGATTTCTTGCTGATTGGCCTTTTTTCTTAAGCACATAAGTGCGTGTTTCATGCAAGAGGGCAATACACTTCTATACCCTTGCCAAATCTAATGGGGCTTTTTAAAGATTCTGAATATTGTAAAGAGACAAATTTGACATGTGAATGATAAGGAAATAAAGAATTGTAACATAATAGCAGGCTTGGCAGAAACCCAGGCAGAGCATTGACCTCTTCTTACATATTAGTCTGCAGTTATTCCATGGTAGAGAAATATTTCAGACTACTTAATAATATTAATGCTTGTGGCTTTTTGTACCCTGTCTATCAGGGCTTTTTCCAGTGTTCAGATAGAGGCAAAGGTCCTAGTACAGATTGAACAATAGGGCAGCTCACATTACATATGATGTATATCTGAAGTTGGTAGATGAAGCTGTGTACTGAAGCTGTGTTTATGCTTATGTACTTTGGTGATGTGCTTTTTTCAAAATCAAAATGTGGCAGCTCTGTGAAGGTTTCATAGTCGCAGGCCTCTCATTGAGTGTCTGAGAGGGTTCTCCCAAGAAATTAAATTGATTTGTTTTAAAATTGTATAAAATTCTTGTTTATCCACATAGGTGGCACCACTGTATTTCTCATGTATCAGAACCAAATTATTTGAGATATAGTCATTTATTCATTCCCAGCAATATTTGGTTTAGAAATAGCCCTATGACATCACCGTCTTTGATAATAGAGTTATTGACATTTGAACCTGAATTCGATGAATGTTTACCTTGAAGTTTTTTAATAATATTCAAACTATTTATGACATTATGAATTGAATTATTATAAGGACTTTTTTTCTGAATGATATGAAATATAATGATTATTTATTAAAAATATTCCAGATGTTTTAATTAACCTTCTGGATAGTGATTAATAATAATGATTAATGATAATAATTAATAAATTTAACGAGGAACATTATTTTCATTGGGCTATTATTAAATGAATTTGAAAAAGCTGTTTTTACCTGCTGGCTATAGACTGTCACATTTTCTATCAAATTGACAAACTAATTGTAGAAAATGTTGTTTTTTCACTGGTATTAGTCTAGATAGTGCCAGACTGGAGGTACAAATAAGGGGCAGACTGACAAATTTGGTCTGCTGAAAATCAAAATGTGGCAACTCTGTCATGATAGTCGCGAGCTTGTCATTGTGCATCTGAAAGGGTTTTCCCTAGAAAAGTTTTTCCAAAAATTGAATTGATTTGGTGAATTCTGACATATTTTGGAGCAGAAGCATAAAAAAAATTATATTCTTTAATTTGTCAAAAATAAAGTCAGGGTACAATTGGTGTGGAAACTATTTAATTGGTGCCGCCACTGGATAGGGCTTGTCTCAGAATCAATTCTGCTTTGAACTATACATGGTTTGAATTTTATGCCGTATTAAGCTGCTATTATCATATGGAATAATACATGAAGTCAAAATTCTAACTAGCTCATTGAAGCAGTATTGACTTTATCTCTTGGCTAGAATTACTGATAATGGACGATGTAACAGTGAACTGAACGAAAAGAAAGGTACAACCATTTCTTATAAGGGTAACAGCTGAGGTTCTTCATGACCCTTTCTACCAGCTGGTCCTTGGCAAACCTCTTGGCATTGATCTTTCAAGTATTATCCATTTATATCTAGACTTGGATAAAGTAATATCTTTACTGAATAGTTACAATTACCAAGCTTGTGTTTATGCCACGATACGTGAGGCTTTTCATTAGTAGCCTGGAATTCCAACTGCTACAGTTGATATTTTTAACAGTTGATATTTTTAACAGTTGATATTTTTAACAGTTGATATTTTTAACAGTTGTCCGTCTGTTAACAAGTATAATCGATGTTTTATAGGACCATGCAAGACATTTAGTGCATCTTATAATTGCCCTATTGCAGTGAAATAGTTATAACCTAGCAATTAGTTACAATTAACAAACTTGTGTTTGTTTATGCCACCATTCTAGAGGCTTTTCATTAGTTGGAATTAAAATTGCCTGTCTGTTAACTGATGTAATAGAGGCTATATGGAACAATGCAGACATTTAGTGCATCTTATGCAGTGAAATAGATAAAACGTAGCAATTAGTCACAATTAACAAACTGTTTATGCCACGATTCTTGAGGCTCCACATGAGTCACTATGTGTTGCAGTGTTATAATTTTCTTGTCAGACAGTTAACTTAGATGGTTATATGACACAATGCAGTGAATATAAAAGTTAACAAATAGTTACAATAACCAAGCTTGTGTTTATGCCACGATACTTGAGGCTTTTCATTATTCAGAATTCTGCTCCAGTGTCATAATTATAAATTTTATTGTCAGACAGTTAACATTGTGGTTGAAATATAAAATAGTTTAAAGTTAAGCGAAAAGGTACGATTACTAAGCCTATGTCAATGCCACGGTACTAACTGCTGTAGTGTTAGTTATAATTTTACAGTTGTCAGTCTGTTAGCTTGTGTAGTAATAGTGTTTATGGTATAATACTAGTCAACTAACAGTATATACCCACTGCCTTGTTGACTAGGTAGTTATTACATTACCTGTTAGTTGTATTGACTTGTAGATCTGTTAGGTATCAACTGAATAAATACTCTTCAACTATTGTGGATTGGAAAAGTTACTAAATTTGTAACATATAAGAAGGTAGTCTTGGAAATTTTAATAGTTTTATAATTTGAGTGATAGATAGTAGTTTATGAAAGTATATTGTTGTGTGTTGCTTTAAATATGAAATTCACCTGATGATGACAATGTAAATTGTTGAAACCTTGTGTACCATGATGGTGTGTTATTTTATGACATTGGTATAAGCATATTATCGAATTTTGTAGAACTGCAACGAAGTATATTAAACATTTAAAAGGAATTGAATTTATGTGATTAAAAAACAAGTATGATTATTTCAGATGATAAAATTTTGTTTACTGCAAATGGATGGAGATCCTTTGAGATTTCTTTCCTCATAATTGCTATCAACGTATGCTAGATATACACTAATGGATAATTTAATCTTTGCTATGATATATATTTAAATTGTATTATGTTATATTATATNTGAAAGATTGTAAAGAGATTTCTAATTTTTGTGTATGTATCAAGGACACTGATAGCATCAATTTCAATCAGATGTCTGTGGTTCCTGCAATTCCACTAAAACAAGTGTTTAACGTCATGATTAGTGATGTCATCAAACAGTGACAGTGGAATTGCAGGAACTACAGACGTCTGATTGAGAATTGGAATGGTGCAAGTTGATGCTATCAGTGTCCCTGATACACATGAAAAATTTAGAAAACCTCTTTACAATCCCTTAAATTGTATTATGTTATATGTTATATATTTAATTGTATTATGTTATATATTTAATTGTATTATGTTATATACTTAAATGTGTTATATTATATTTAATTGTGTTATGTTATATATTTAATTGTATTATGTTCTATATTTAATTGTATTATGTTATATATTTAATTGTATTATGTTATATATTTAATTGTATTATGTTATATATTTAATTGTATTATGTTCTATATTTAATTGTATTATGTTCTATATTTTATTGTATTATGTTATATATTTAATTGTATTATGTTATATATTTAATTGTATTATGTTATATATTCAATTGTATTATGTTCTATATTTCAGGGTTATAAATGAGACGGAGAGTGAAGATGATTATATTATAGATTGTGATGGTTATGAACCAGTTCGTCCTTTAAACAGTGAACATGATGTTATGATCATATCCCCTAAAGCATCTAAATTAAACCATCATTGGCTACAGTGTATGAACCACGGTAGTACAGCAATACAGTGGGAAGAAGACAGCGGTAGATCGTGTATCTGTTTTTTGAAATTAGAAATTGATAACGCTACGTTAACGTGGAGAAAACCTGCGTGGAGTTCGTTAAAAGGTAGTGGTCAGGATTATTCGTTACGTGGTGATGATGACAGTATTTCAACGTCATTATTAGCCGCTCGTTACAGTAATCTGGAAGATATCTGTGATAATTTAGAAGAAGGATATTTAGACGTTCATTGTATTAAGAATATTTTAATCGGTGATGATACGGTGGATTTAAGTTCGATCTCAAAAAGACACGGATTAGAAAATTTAACCCACAAATCTAATGGGATTACTATACTTTATGGAGCCTATATGGCTGAAAATCGTAAACTTCATTTTATCGCGCCAGAACATACAGCCAATATTTGGTGTCAAGGATTACATAGTTTAGTGACAGCAGCCAAACATCTTCAGGTAAGACAATTGACTTTTTTTTATATCAATATCTCACATAGTGCCATTATAGCTCATTCAAGGCTCAAATTTACTTGTCAAAATCCCTTCCAAACCCAGTATTATTTTGAAACCCAAGACATAAATGGAAAGGTCAATAGTGCCATGTGTTAATTCCTTGCATGATGTTAAAACTTGCAGCTAAAACTTTTTGATTTGCTTGACTTTTTTTGACTTCTTGTTACTATGGTTAACTATTTTTGATATAGCTCATTCAAGGCTCAAATTTGCTTGTCAAGATCCCTTCCAAACCCAGTATTATTTTGAAACTCAAGTCATAAATGGAAAGGTCAATTCAGCAAAATTCTTTGTTTGAACTGCAGCCCAGACCCAATCAGGAGCTTTGTGATAAATTGAACCTGAGAACCATTATAACTGGATATCATTTTCAACTTCCATTCAGACATAACTTGCAATGTCTATTCAGGAGGTGTGTGATAAATTGAGCAGCTAATTTCTAACAGTTTACCCTTTCAAACTTCCATTAAAATATGACTGGCAAGGTCAAATCAGGAGTCCTGTTATAGATAGAACATGAGACCCGAGACAATACTAACTGGGGACATGATAATAAAAATAATTATAATCTACCAATATATCCTGTTTATTTCACAGTCAGTCAGTTCTCTGACCAATCTGTACTAGTCTGTAATGGCTGTCCAACACAGAAATTACCCATTATATAAATTCAGACTTGTCACATGATCTTGTTTTGTCCATATGTAAGGTCGTAAAAACGGTAAAATAAAATGGAAGTGGTGACTTCGTAAATGTTCTTGTAGACAACGAGTCACTCGAGATTCTATTGTTTTATTGACATTTTTGCACTTTACGTCATTGTCATTCTAAACATCTTCACAGAAACAAATATTCTAAAAAGCTTTTCAGAAATACTGTAATCTGATTGGTTAATAAAACTAGATTTAAGAACAATAATGATATAAATAATGGAGAGAATTCTATGGAGACTTGAGTTTTTGGAAATTAGGTCAAAGATAAAATCAGAAAATTAAAAGATATTTTTTTTAAAACTAGTCAAAGAAAATGCAAAAATCCTACTTAGACACCTTAAACAAGAATAGTTAAGAGGTTTTTTATTAAGAACCAGTATGTAGATTTTAGTGATCGACTCAGATGAAGGCAATACTAAAATCATAGATAGCTAAGCCAAGCTGAGAATGTTCCAGATATTTAAACGAATACATCACTTAAACAAGAAGAGTTAAGAGGTTGATGATTAACCACTAAGCCTGTAGATTAAAAGATGAGGTATTGGCTGGTGGTTTATAATCTTAGTATTTTGTTAAGATGTTTAGCTCGTTAGATATGTTAATTAGGTTATCAGGTAAACACAACAAATTACTAAGTGAAGAAAATTTGTTCTACCGCCATTTTTTTATTTAGTTTTATAGTCATTAGCTGAATTGTTTAGGTTTAAGACTTCTGTTAAAAATAATAAACACACAAAATTATTTACTAGATGGTCAATCAGAGAGGTAAGCTGATATATAGTCCATCATTCTTTCTTGTTTATTAACATCTGAAGAATAATAACAGGAAACCCACTGATCTTAAACCAAAAACAATCCCTTTGGAGTTTCCTATTTTGCACATGTTTAATGTTTTTCCTATGCCCCAACCCAAGTCCTTTCACAACCCTAACCTTCAGTTCTCTACCCACACAAATTCCCTACCCCTTCTCATCATCATTTTAATTTCAAACACTCTCATGAAATGAGTCTTGTGTAAGAAAATTACAATAATAATGATAATATAATGAAGCCTGAGTGCCCATCCCGACTCTGTGCCCTACCGGTTCAATACAGTTCCCTGTGCCTCACCCCCCTCTCTAGCACAACCCTAGCTCACTAACCTGATTAAGAAGTGAATGTTTTGTAAGAAAAGTAATATTCTATATAATAAAGTAAAGGAGAATGATTAATCACCTTGCTGTAAGTTAATCAATATATGTTTCTCTACAAATGTCAACTCTTCCATTTTCTATTTCTTTTGTCCTTTTTTCTGTTTCAAAAGTAAAAAAACTTGATCTTTAAGAGGAGAAGGTCACTAAGAACTGTTGACAATTAGGGTAATAAAGCCTCTGACTGGCTGTATAACTGATTATGGTACCCTCATCACAATCACCACTTACTTTCACAACTTATGACCAGAACTCTTAATTTTCAACAGGTGATGGCCATGGTTTGTGGACACCTGTAGATATGAACTTATATACTACCTGGAACATTGTAGACAAAACATCCCTGAAAACTTTTTGGCAATGATACTCTAGATATATAAATACCACTGTTAAAATAGTGCTCAATACATCAATTGTAGAGTGATATAGAAATACCACTGTTAAAATAGTGCTCAATACATCAATTGTAGAGTGATATAGAAATACCACTGTTAAAATAGTGCTCAATACATCAATTGTAGAGCAATATAGAAATACCACTGTAAAAATAGTGCTCAATACATCAATTGTAGAGTGATATAGAAATACCACTGTTAAAATAGTGCTCAATACATCAATTGTAGAGTGATATAGAAATACCACTGTTAAAATAGTACTCAATATATCAATTGTAGAGCGATATAGAAATACCACTGTTAAAATAGTGCTCAATACATCAATTGTAGAGCGATATAGAAATACCACTGTTAAAATAGTGCTCAATACATCAATTGTAGAGCGATATAGACATACCACTGTTAAAATAGTGCTCAATACATCAATTGTAGAGAGATATAGAAATACCACTGTTAAAATAGTGCTCAATACATGAATTGTAGAGCAATTAGAAATACCAGCGTTAAAATAGTGCTCAATACATCAATTGTAGAGCGATATAGAAATACCATTGTTAGAATAGTGCTCAATACATCAATTGTAGAGTGATATAGAAATACCACTGTTAAAATAGTGCTCAATACATCAATTGTAGAGTGATATAGAAATACCACTGTTAAAATAGTGCTCAATACATCAATTGTAGAGCAATATAGAAATACCACTGTAAAAATAGTGCTCAATACATCAATTGTAGAGTGATATAGAAATACCACTGTTAAAATAGTGCTCAATACATCAATTGTAGAGTGATATAGAAATACCACTGTTAAAATAGTACTCAATATATCAATTGTAGAGCGATATAGAAATACCACTGTTAAAATAGTGCTCAATACATCAATTGTAGAGCGATATAGAAATACCACTGTTAAAATAGTGCTCAATACATCAATTGTAGAGCGATATAGACATACCACTGTTAAAATAGTGCTCAATACATCAATTGTAGAGAGATATAGAAATACCACTGTTAAAATAGTGCTCAATACATGAATTGTAGAGCAATTAGAAATACCAGCGTAAAATAGTGCTCAA